CAAGGTTCTTGAAAACTGGAAAGTACGCTGAACGTCTTGGTGCTGGGTCTCCTGTCTACCTCTCTGCTGTCCTCGAATACCTCGCTGCCGAGGTTCAATTTCTTCAATTTCTTTAACTGGGTGTCAAATTTTGTTGTTATTTCTGGGTTTTGATCATTGGCCTTTTCTTTTCAGGTTCTCGAGCTAGCTGGGAACGCAGCAAGAGATAACAAGAAGAACCGGATCGTGCCAAGGCACATCCAGCTTGCAGTGAGGAACGACGAGGAGTTAGGGAAGCTGTTGGGGTCGGTTACAATTGCAAACGGAGGAGTTTTGCCTAACATTCACCAGACTCTGCTTCCTAAGAAGGTTGGCAAGGGGAAGGGTGATATTGGATCTGTTTCCCAGGACTTCTAGGGTTTTGATTTGGGATGGGCCATGTAAACCATACTTGTTAGACTTGGTCTAAAGAATTTCTTCAAAGTAGTTCTTGGCTATTAGATTATCAGGTTAACTTGTGAGGTTGGGTTGAATTTAATGTTCATATATGTTTAGATTTTTTACTAGATCGGGTAGAAAAATGCTGAATCTTTCTAATTCAATGAAAATTGAAAATCTTGGTGCTTATTATTGTGCCCTTTCTGCTTCCAATTTGGTATCTGTTCTCCTTAAATCATTCAATCTTTCCTGATTTTGATTGATGGAAGGCCTTAATCATCATCTTAGCTAAATTTCTTATTCTTCCAAGGAAGAAAATAGAGAGAGGATTTAGTAAGGTTACAAGTTAAAGGGCAGGAAAATTATTCTTCCAAGGAAGAAAATAGAGAGAGAGGATTTAGTAAGGTTAAAAGTTGACGGAAAGGGATGAAATTGACAGATCGGGATTGGAAAATTGCATTACCTCCTACAAAATTATCATGGAGGTGGGAAAACTTTTATTTAGAATGAACCTAAATAAGATATTAATTAAATTTGTTCCAATCATATTTGAGGTTTTTTTTATATTTAAAAATCAAGAATTCTTCAATGAAAATAAGATATTAATTTCAGAAAAATATTATGAGAATTTTATAATGAAATAAAAGTAAAAACAAAATCAATTCAACCAAGGAACGAAGGATGGACCATAGGAATTATGATTTTCCTCTGGCCCTTTTAATTTGAGAATAAATAATGACGAACATGAGGATTTAAATATATTATATTTCTTATTTGTTTTCACTAGATAGAAGTGAATTTTGACTCAGTTTAGATGATAAAATATATTTGAAATAAATCAATTAAAGAAGTTCATAAAAATATTTTAATTAATTTAATTACTTAGCTTTTAACTAGCCTATTTTTTATAAACTTTGATTTACTGAATTTCCTATTTATAATAAGTTTTTTCGGTTTGTTTTGATTTAGTTTGTGTTGCTTTGTTTTTTTATTTTTTATTTAAGATAAAAGAATTGATTTTTATATCAAATTTTCTAAGTAAAATCATTCAACAAACTCAATAAACTGTTCAATTTATTTAACATTAATTTAATTTCCAAGAATTTTCAAGATAATACAGTTAATTTACTATCCCTCCCACCAAACAATGCTGAAGACGTCTTCCATTCCTCAAGATCCAATCACATCTCTAGGGTCCAAAGAGCCCGTGGGCTCCCCTTTCAAGCATCTCGAAAATCAATTCAAAACCGCGAAAAAACAAAACAAAAATTTCCATTTCGCGCCGCGAAAATAAAAAACCTAAGCCACGTCATCGATCCCAGCAAACCCAAACCCACCAATCAGAATACACCCCTTCTCCCTATATAACCAAACCCCCACTATCCACCCTAAAATCAATCACCTCCCTCATTTTCCTTCATTTAACTCCCTCTAAAGCCAAAATCAGGGTTAGGGTTTTATAGATCTTTGTGTAAAATGAGTTCAAAAGAAGGAGGCGCTTCTACCAAGGGAGGGAGAGGGAAGCCAAAGGCATCCAAGTCGGTGTCAAGATCGCATAAAGCAGGGTTGCAATTCCCAGTCGGGAGAATTGCAAGGTTCCTGAAGGCTGGTAAATACGCTGAACGTGTCGGTGCCGGAGCTCCCGTCTACCTTTCTGCTGTCCTTGAGTATCTCGCTGCTGAGGTCCGATTTCTTTACCCTTTGGTGGAGCACTGTTTTCTGGGCTTTAGTCACTTCTGTTTGGTTTTTTCTTCTTGGCTATCAGATTATGTATTACAAAAGCAAATATTTTTAGATCTTTAAAGCGAAACCCTCTTGCAAAAGTTTGGTTGATCTATTTTTGCTTGAAAATAATGGTTTTTTGTGGGTTTTATTTGATGTTAATGACATGCAATTGTTTTGTGTTTTAATTGGTAATTAATCACTTGATTTGCTGATTTTTTCGGGTTTTTTTTCTTAATGTTAACAAATTTTCGAGTTGTTGGCTGAAAATAGTGTCAGCTGTTGTTCATTGTTTATCAGATGATTTTGATTTTTTTTGTTTAAAGTAAATTTACTGACATGAGTGATTGATTTTCTTCAGGTGCTTGAGCTAGCAGGGAACGCAGCAAGAGATAACAAGAAGAATCGTATAGTGCCAAGGCACATCCAGCTCGCTGTGAGAAACGATGAGGAGCTAAGCAAGCTACTGGGGTCAGTTACAATTGCAAATGGAGGTGTCTTGCCTAACATTCACCAGACACTTCTTCCTAAGAAGATTGGCAAAGGGAAAGGCGACATTGGATCTGCTTCTCAAGAGTTCTAGTTCTAGGTTTAGAGTTGTCTTTTTGAAAAATCGAGGGTTTCTACAGTGTGTAATATAGTCTTTTTGATTTCTGTGTTTCTCGAAACTGGCTACATGGAGTTTCACTGTATGTTTTTGATAAAAGCTGAGGCTTTTTGGAATCTTTATCTGATGGAAGTTTTTATCAATCACTGTACCCTCGTTTTGTTCTGTTTTTTTTCTTAAACGCCTTGGTTCTCTGTTGATTGATTCGTTAAAGGTTGCTGGTATGAAGTTGCCCGTGACGCTGTTTGTTCTGGTAATGGATACAGATTGGTGCTCTTTTTCTTGTTGAAGAAATATGGAAGGGTTAGCTGTTGCTATAATAAGTGGGAAGTAATGAATCTGCTGGGATTTTGTTCGATGATGTGTTGCCTTAATGGTCGGTAAGTTGTTCGGAATTGATGGTGGCAGGTGCTTGTCAATGAGAAGAAATGTTCCTTTTTGACTCAGGTTTGCTAAGGCTACTCTTTGCCCTCGTCAAGTGGTTGATTGTGTTTTTGATCAACTGATGAACTCAAGCACCTCCCATCAGCACTGGGATATGGAGATGCTCTGAATCAGGGATGTTGGAATTGGTTACTGTTAGTTCAATGAAAATGTCGTCCAATTTGCCAGGGAGTTTTACCCTTTCGTCGGGCCCAACATTGCATCAAGCAGTATCACATTGAGGGGAATGGAGATGGACTGAGACTTGTTCTGAAGCATAGTTTGTTTCTTACTGTCTCAGATTTTCTTTGAATAATCAAATCAATGGATTGCATATTGCTGCCATACAATAATCAATTCTTAGCAATCCAAAGTCTGCACCTCAATGAACCATGCCTGCGAGAGCTGTTCAGTGCGAGCCTTGTTTGCACAGAATCTGGGATTCGAAGACCTTGCTAAGTCGAAAATCGTCCATGATTTTCAAGTATTATGCCACATTTCAGTATATCCTGCTGAATTCCTTGGCAGAATGATCACCCCAAATTAAAATGATAACAGGCTAGGCCGTTCCTTTTGATGCTAGGCTAGGGTTTAATTCGTCCACTCTGCTAGTTAGTGAGAACTAGAAGATTATACTTTACAATGATACCAGATACACTACATTGCCTGCCATTATAATCAAGCAAGATCAAAGCTAATCATGCAATGCCCTTCTCGTGGTAAGAGAATTGCATCCTAGAAGGCGGAAGAAACATTTTGGTAAAATGCAAATGCATGGTCAATAGAGTCGAGGCATCTTACCTAATTTTCCTTCTCATCTATGGCTTTCTCAGTTGCATCAATACAGAAGCCAGCTGATTACAAGTCTTGATCTAGCTTCAAGATGACGATGCAAGAAAAGAGATAAAGTGCTTAGTGTAGCCCATCCCTCCTCAAAGTTTGCTTCACAGCCCAGCCATTTCTGTAATACGCAGATATTCACTTTACCTGTCGAGCCTACGCTTTTGCTCATTGAACAGCTGGATTTGTTGTTCAAGGGGTTAGGCTTCACTCAAAAAAGCAGATTCTCAAATCGGATGGTCTGTACTGAACACCATCATAGTTCTGCGTCGCCATGAAGGAGCCAGAGCAAGACTCGCAGAGGCCATGACAATGGGAGCTTCTGTAGGATCTTGCATCGGCATGATAGACGATAGTATAAATGTTGCGGCTGGGATACAGCCATTGTTGGTTCCTGGAAATTCAATCGCTTCAACAATTCTTTACACAAACTTTGTCATCTCCTGGAACTTGCATAGTGCTGGATTTCATAGATAAGACTTTGACTCCATGTTGTGGTTTATATTCATCGGGTATGGATGAAATTATTATACTAAAAAAATAGTTGAATTTTATTAATTATATAACTTTTATTTTTCTAATGAGTACTTATTAAAATATGATCAAACTTAGCGGATTAACTCATTAATCTATATATTCAAAGCCTAACTTAAACTATGTTTTATTTCAAATTAAATTTTATTTCAAGTTAGTTTGAAGATTGACCTGATTAAATCCATTCTATCCCACGAAATCTAATTTATTCAACTAAATTTAATTGTCACTCAATTATTTTAATTTAATTTTTAATCAAAACAAATCTTTTTATTTATAAAAGGTAATTAACCCAACAAATCTTTGATGCAAGCTTTGGATCAAATCAAACCCTGAACTAATAATTCTATATTTTATAATCATGTGATATTACGGGATCCCAATAAATTTAAGCCAGTTAAAAACTGCCACATCTGCAACTTAAAGATTTCAGTGTAATCCTATCATTGATTACTTCTTTAACTATTCAGGGTTAGCTTTTTCCTTTTCTTTTGCTCAAAACTCTGCGTTTTCACCATCTGCTCTGCTCTCTGAAATTTAGAAGAAGTCAACGTTCAAGAAACTTGAAAAATCCCCCAAGAAAATCTCTCCTCTCTCTCAACAATGGCGGTGAATTGGCTGCTAATATGTCACGGATTAGTCACTTTAACAGTCGTAATCTCCTTCCTCTGTGGTCAATGGCCAATCTTCCAAGGCACCCCAATTGAACGCCTTCATCACTTCATCACTTTCGGCGCTTACGATTACTTCCTGTACACCCCACCGCTCGCAAGCACTCTCTCTCTGTTTGATCTTGATTCGTTGTGTTGTTGATTTTTGGGTTTCGATTTTGCTGCAGGAGGTTTGTTGGGTTTGTGTTTGGTGATAAAGCGAGGAGTTTGGTGCTCTCTATTGAACGCTGTTGCTGTGATCGGCCTAATCCTGTTTTGCAGGCAATTCTGTCAAAACCCACATTTTTTTTCGTATTTCTTCTCTATATTGTGTTTTTTTGGTCGAGGAGTTTGGTGCTCTCTATTGAACGCTGTTGCTGTGATCGGCCTAATCCTGTTTTGCAGGCAATTCTGTCAAAACCCACATTTTTTTTCGTATTTCTTCTCTATATTGTTTTTTTTTTTGTAATTTAGTGGTTTTTTTTTTTTTTTTTTGTGTCTTGAATAAATTTCTTCATCAAAGTTTTCCATGCTTTGAAGTGAATAAATTCCTTGTTTTAGCACAGTAGTTTAATAGGTGTTTTGAGTGTGTTGAATTAATAACAAAAACGGCAATTAAGCATTAAAGAACGATCAGGTTGTGTGTGGATTCAAGAGTGCTAGATATGAATGATAAATGTTTGTGGATGAGAATTGAGATGAAACAAAAGCAGGTGAAAAACTGGGGAATATGGAAATGAGAGAAGACAAAACAATGCCAAATTTGACGTTTCTATTAGAAAAACTAGGAAGATTTTTATTCACGCAATAGTTTTTAAGTGTCTTAAACTAATGGTTTGGAGAAAGAGAAGTAATGCGGAACGATATAAAATGAATCTTTTCATGAATGGTTTACAGTTTATACATTGTTAATGTTTTTGAAAGATTAGTATTTTCTGTTTATTTTTCGTTTTTTATGCTATTGAAGAAAAATGTACCTTATCGTGCTAATTGATGTATATTAAGATTAATTGTTCTGAAAGAGTTTAGATTACACTTAGATTTTTATGTTTTTTATTTTTCTTTTTTTCTTTTTTTATTTCAGGTTATATACTTGGCAATAATTGGAGCAACTTATTATTATATTGTTAAGTCATCCTTTCGCTATATTCCTGGATATTACTTAGGTGAAGTTCACAAGTATGTGCCGAGTCATGGTTGTTACTCTTATGCTGCAGAACAATCCCTTTAGCATGATTGCATTCTAAACTTGATTAAATATTCTATGCTCTTGCAGATACACAAGCTTGCTGGCAGTTGGTATTGGAATTGTACTCTTTTTATTGACTAGCTTTTCTGATCCTGGAACTGTCAAGGCTGGGAATGTTTCAGAATATCTCTTGGCATATCCCTATGACAATATCATATATACAGAGAAAGAATGTTCTACTTGTAAAATCCCAAAGTGAGTTCTTTGATTTTTTTTTGGAATTCCTGTAAGTTTTTTCTTTTTATTTATTAAGAATCATAAGAACAGCAATTATGCTCTTGATGCAGACCAGCTAGGTCCAAGCACTGCAGCATATGTAATCGGTGTGTTGCCCGGTTTGACCATCATTGTGGTTGGATGGTTTGTACTTTATGAGTTTATTATTTGCCTCTGTTGTTGTTTTTTGACTCTTTATAACTGCTCATTCTCTGTATAGACCATATGACTAAAGTTGTTCGTTATTGCAGAATAATTGTATAGGGGAGAGAAATACCCGATACTTCTTGGCTTTTCTTTTATGGTGAGTTCCATAGGATTACTGGCATGCAATATTCATAATCCAACTGTAGGTGGTGATGCTTTCTTGGAAGATAAAGACCACAAACTGATTTTTACAGCTGTTATCTAATAGATGTCCATAAGAAAAAAGTTTTGATCTTTGAATTTGGCTTAGACTTTCACCTTGCAGTCTCCATCAGTGAAAAGAAGGGGGATACTCTGCAAGGTCTATTATTTGGAAAATACAAATATTCTATGCATCACTGAATTTTATGAAACTGAAATTTAGGGGTTGTTTGGTAACACCACCAAAAGTTTGTAATACAGTAACAGAAATGAGAAACTATCAATATACCATCTTTAGTTGTGTTCCTGAAACTGAAAAAAATTAAGAAAAATAAAACCTTTTGTTGGTGACCTGAAGCTTTAGCTGATAGGTGGAGAATCTATAATATCTGTTTGTTAACTTGTGGTATCTGTTTGCGAGGATTGAACTTGTTCTTAATTTTTTTTGACAACTCAAATCATCAAACTTAATTTTAGAGGTTTCCTGCAACTGGTTAGTGGTCACTGGTTTCCTTGTTTCTTTGCTAGAATCTGTAACAGACAAAGGTGCACTTCCAGGTTCTTTTGCCAGCACACCTGTAGAAATGTATGTTGCTTTAATTTTTGTGATTTTTAATTAATGAATTTCATGAAATGATGTTGAAACTTCAAACTCTTGCTTAGATTTTTTGTGGTGAAAACCTAATTTGATTACTGCTTGAGCACTGTTCTCTCTTATAATTTAGTTGCCTTGTTATCTGGCATTCATTACATGGGGCTATCTGATCTGCTTCTTGGTTTTATATTTATTCGTTGTTATTATTGTTCTTGCTTCTGTTGAATACTTTGCTGTGGTTTTGCAGGCATTGCCTTCTATGTATATATGGAGCAATTGCACTTGCATTGATTATTGCTGGACGATTGAAAGAATTAAGAGTTGTATATATTCTAACAGGTACAGTCACTTGCAGTTACTGACAATCAGAAAAAAAATATCAAGATGCAGTTAGGTCTAATTTATGGTTCATTTCTTACGTGTGTAATTGTGGCATTTCTTTTTGTTTTTAACAGTTTATTATGGCGTTGGAAATTCATTCCGTAGTTTAGCTCCACATGTTGCACAGGTTGTGTCATGAATTCCTTATTTCAATTGCTGCTATACTCTTGTTGCTTTCATTGATGGTTTTCTGGTGTTCACAGTGGCTGTTGAGCTCATACAACACTCAATTACTTCTGATGGTGTTTCTTGTCATAGTTTCTCTATTGTTGGCTGGATTTTTTGGGTACCATGCCAACCTATGTCTCACAAACACTACAACAAATGAGGTCTATTTCATTTACATGTACTCTTTGATATAGTTTTGTTGTTTTCATTTCATATATGATTAGGCTGGATGTCGATGCTCTTTTAAATGTGGTTTTTTCCATTTCTCTTGGATATAGGATGAGGCAGAATTTGGCCAGTAATTAACATCATAGGAGAAGCCTTTTTTGTAACTTTTTGACTCCATTGCAGCTGCTTTACCTGATGGGCAAAATACGGAAAAGTTCACCTTGTCAAGCCATGAAAACGAATACAGATATAAATTTCTCGGCTTGGTACATGGAATACCACATAATTCAGAAAATTTCTATGGAAGTTGCACTTTCTCCTCTTCAAGCTTCCTAATGTTTTGTCCAACCATGAGTTTTCCATAAGGGTAGCAATTAACATAGAAACTTCTGAAATCAGAAGATTTATTGATTTTTTTGCCGGGTGTTATGGTTTGTTATTGTGCTTCCATATTTAAAAGAGGGATAGGGAGCATTGGGAGAAAGGGCTGGGGGGTTTAGAAGTGCTAGAATTAAGTAAGGATTTTGAAAATTGCAAGAACCTTGGATATTACTTTAATAGATTTTGGGGGGAGTTTTTTAAACTAATTTTCCAAGTAATTTCCCCTATAATCTCTAGATTTTAATATGCTTCTGTTCAACTCTAAATATGATGACTCCAACCAGTTGATTATGTTGTTTAAATTCCCTTGTGGTATTTATAGACAACCATAGCCACCTTCTATCTCTCCATGCGCGCACAATTTTTTTGGATTAACTGGTGGTCTCAGTATTGGAATCTCATCTACTAGGTTAATACTGTAATCCTGAAACTTGTGGTCATTGCTTTTTGCTGTAATTACAGACCTTCAAGTGGGAAGACTACATAAGCTGGCAAAGGAAGCTAAATGAAGCAAGGGTTAGCGCTGCAGCACTTAAAGCAAGCATCAGTGGGATGAGCAGTGAAGCAAAGCGTCCAGAGAGCAAATGTAAATCCTTTTTCCGGAGATCGCCCCTCGAAGATTCTCAGGTGGTAGCCAAGGAAAACAAGTATGACAAGGGGTTCTTTCACAACATGTTTGAGGTCCTTTTCCCGCTATCAACGAGACCATCATTTTCACAAACGAAATCAAAGCCTTCCTGAGACATCTCCAATCAGGCGTTAACTCAGCTGTATTGTTTCTGCCACTCGCACATGGTTGGCCATGGCCTCAAAGGGGATCAAGCGCTGTGGGAATGTCTGGATCACTGCATCACACTGTTCATTGCTATTGACCAAAGGATTTGTAGGAGTGCCCCTTTGCGCAGTTGCATCTGGTGACTTGTAATGGACAGATTGGTGTAACTATTGATCTACATCTCATTTAGTAAGAACAGCATTAGAAAATTTTACTTGAAAATGAAGAGGGCATAGTTTCTTGCATCCAGCATGCCAAGTCGTGAAAAACATGCAACACGTATATAACACTAGAGAGCCTAGAGCATGCAACACATACACTCAATGCCTGTGAGAAAACTCACTTGATTTGTTCCTTGCCTTTTGCATTACTGTAGCAGTGATCATATAAATCTTTTCAAAATCTCCGTGCATTGCATTTATAACTGAACGAAAATAGATATGGAGGGATCGTTGCTTTTATGAAGATAAATGTGGAAATGAGTAAAAAATAATGGACTTATTCGAGCACGAAGGTGAAGGCCATACCATAACTTATAAAGGGTTAATTATATTTTAGTCAATCCAGTTTAGTAAAACTAACTAATCAGTACTCATCTTAGTTTCAAAAACTATATATTTAATCCCTATGCTCTTAAATAAATTTATAACTTGATTCTTCTCGTCCATCTCACTTTCTTTTCCAATTTATTTTGACCTTTTGTTTTTAATTTTAAGAATAAAAAATAAAGCAGATAGAATAAAAAAATACGATGAGCATGGAAAACCATTTTTTGAATAAAATACTAGTAAATTAGGTGTTGATGAAGAGCTATTTAATAATTTCTCATGCTATACTATAAGGTCTAATTAATTTATTGTGATAAACTACAAAGACTAAGTTGTAATTAACTCGATTTATATTTATATATAATAAATCTACATATTTATAACTTTTTCTAACACAAATCAAAAATAATTTGTGGAGTTTTTTTTTTTTTTTTTTTTAAGATTACCTTGATTAAACTAAACTTGTCCGATAAATGTAAAATATTTTGTTTTTTTTTTCCTACCTGTATAATTTACTTAATGTAAATTGATCATGAAAAATATCACCTGAAGCTTTAATAAAAATAGATACAAAGGATTGAAAATTATAAATGCAAATTGGTATAAAAATCAGGAAGGTTCCGTTTAAGCTGGGGTGGATGGACCCTGGAGTGATCCAGGAACGCATGGAAACCAATATGTAATATTAACTGTTCAATCGAAATACCTAGGGGATGTAGCTCAAATGGTAGAGCGCTCGCTTTGCATGCGAGAGGTACAGGGTTCGATCCCCTGCATCTCCATTTCTGTATTTTTTTGGCTTAAATTGAGTATTCAGCTAAAATAATAGTGTTGTGGAAGACACTGCTATAATTGGAGAGTTGGAGAAATTCCAACTGCCAAGTGAATTGGGGAAGCTGAGGACTTCAGTTTGTTTCCCTGTGAGAACATGAACTCTGTACAGAGAAGTGAGGACATCCATGAAGGGATTTAGAGTTTAGATAAGTCAGAGCTCAAGAAATTCTATTCAGGAAGACACCGACACATTTGAAAGAAATTATGTGTGTGTATTCACTGTGAAAAATTGGAGGTATTTGATTCAGAACATACATAGGAACACACCCTTTCCTCTTTTTTGTTTTCTCTGCTATAATCCATTTCCATCACGTGATCTCATTCGACGAAATTTTAGACAACAATTACATATGATTCAAAAAGAGACCCACCTGTCTATGCGGCAATTATTTTGGTCTTCCAAATACCATTTGAAGTGAGACACTTTCTACAATTATTTTTATTTAGATTTTCTAAATCTTGAAAAATTCCACATTCAGTATAATAAAAAAGATATAATTTTTTTCATCTGGATTGAAAGAGCTTTGTTATTCAAAAATAATTAGCTTGCTAGCTGTTTTCATTTTTAGATTTAAATTAAGTACTATTTCAGATTTTTTTCCCACTCGTTTTATGAAGGAAAGATGCACTCTTTCAACTATACAGAGAATAATCATTAAGCCATCCACTGTTGCTCTGATCCATTCCCTTGCTTTCTCACTGCTGATAAACCTCAGTTGTTTATAATCTGCAGTAATATTTGCACCTCTGCTCACTGGTCTGAAGTCACTGCTCTGTTGATTAGCTGAAACCAAGAGATAAGCTTGCTTAAAGACTTTTCCTTTATTCTTCTTTTATCACTTGATTCCAGAGACCCCTTTATGTTAATTTGCTGTTTATCTTGATTGCTTTCTATCTTTCTTTCTTTGTTACTTTATGCTTTTCATGCTTTTGAAAAGCCTCTGCTTTGCTGCTTGTTTATTATTTGTGTTGTTTTTGCTTTATTAACTTTAGCTAATCAACCTATGAAGTTCTACAGCAGTATTATTTAGATCTCTGTCTGCTAATCAATCCATGCCTCTCCCTACTTAATATAATCCGCCAATGCTACTTTTTCCCAGTTCTGATCAGTTAACAAAAATTTCGCATTCAGTATAATAGAAAAGATATAATTTTTTTTTTATCTGATTACGAGATTGAAAGAGCTTTATTATTAAAAACTAATTAGCTTGCTAGCTTTTTTCATTTTTAGATTTAAATTAAGTACTATTTCAGTTTTTTTTATTCAATTTTTCTTGTTGCTTTCTTATTTTTTTAGATTAATATTTTCAATTTAATTAGTTGGGATATTTTTTTATTTAATTAAAAATATTTTTTTTATATTTAATTAATAATCTTTAAAAAATTATCAAAGATTTCATTTTTCTCCATAATCAAGGACTTGGCAGAGTTCAATTGGTTAGTTCTCCAAAGTGTGCCCCTAGTTTCTGTAGCAACGCAGCAAGCCAAGTTATTCCTCACTGTTTATGGATGTTGTGCACTTGCTGATTCGGCAGAGTTCAATCGGTTAGCTCTCCAAAGTGGGCCCCTAGATTCTGTAGTAAGTCAAGCTGTTCCGTTTCTTTATCACTTGATTCCAGAGACCCCTTGATGTTAATTTGCTTTTCATCTTGATTGCTTTCTTTCTTTCTTTGTTACTTTATGCTTTTGAAAAGCCTCTCCTTGTTGCTTGTTTATTATTTGTGTTGTTTTTGCTTTATTAA